GTCCAAAAAAGAAGCCTTTGTCCTATAGCATCTAAGGTTAGGATTGGATGGGGGTCGGGGGTGCAGATACACATTAAAGGATATCTCTAAACAGCTAGCAGCCTCTCATCCCCAAAATAGCTCCCTTAGAGCCTAGGCTTTCTAGAAGTGAAGGCTGTTGCCCTAAGCAAATTGGACTCAGATACCTGGTCCTTACGGCCTGCTGCCTTTTGCCTTGCTATGACTCAGTTTCCCTGTCCTGAAAGAAAGAGGCTGCTGGCCATGTTTAAGTTTAGGGGTCACTTGTGAGTGGATCATCGGCTGCAAAGTCAGCCTGAACAGTGAATGCACTGTCCTGGACCAGCTGGAGAGGGTCCGGAGCCTGTGAGCCCCCAGTGACCCCGCCGCCATAGAGAGGCGGGGCGGGGTGCAGGCAGAAACCACACCGGGCTCAAGTTTCCTCTCTTGGCCAGAAGGGGCAGGAGGAGAGGAGGGCCACGGAGAAAGGGAAGGTTTGGAGGAAGCACTGCTATCTCCGACCGAGGGCTACAGAGAGACCGCCGGTGCTCTCGCTTCTACCGGGGCCAACCGGTGCTCCGCACCCAGCCATGGCCCGTGGGCGGGGCTCGGCCCTCAGTAGTGCTCAGAGGCAGCGCTCAGCGCCCAGGAGGTGTCAGCTCTGACCCAGCCTCTCAGGGATACTACTCGCAGCCTCATCTCTCTCCTCGCCGGGCTTGGAATCCGCCACAGGTGCCTGAAAGGCGAGTCTGGAGGGAGACCTCAGTGGGCACTGGGGAGGTCAGGCTGGGCAGGTGGAGGAGGTACCGGGAGGAATACCTAACTTTCTGTCTGGATGTTTCTAAAACATCTTCCTAGAGTCCCTAGTGTAGGAAACTGATACGTTTGGAGTAATACTACTTGGAGATACTTTGGAGATACTTTTAGATGACTTCCCAGCTGTTCTAGGGTCCTTTGGGTGGGAGGTTGTAGATGGGGAACATACAGCGCTTTACTATAAAGCACACTGGAGGAGCAGGGGAATGACCAGGAGGAACCCTTCAACTGGCCTACTGACTGGGGGAGCTAGCAGGCTCCAGTAATATGGGCTCCCCTATACCCTGTATTCTATAGCACCAATCACCCGAGATTTGGGGGAAGCAAAGGGATAGTAGATATTGGATATCTGAACTTCTGAAAAGCCTTGTTACAGCAAGGTGTACAGATAGTTGACTGAGTTCTCCTGGGTTGCCTCTCTTCCTCCACAGTCCTAAGCTGGACCTACAAAGAGGAGGGCATTCAATCTCGGTGTAGATACTTCTATGGAAATTCTTGGCTGCTAGTAGCAGGAGGTTGAGATGCTGTGGGAGAGAAAGAGAGCCACCAGATCTGCAGACTGCAGCCTCTACTTATTGCTTCCAATGAGCCAGGATTCTAGGAAGAAAGTCACAGGACAGCAGAAATGCATTCCCTTTTCCTTGTCCCCAAGCATCATGTTGAGTCATATATGCTCCTAGGGGACTAAGCCTTTGTGCTCAAATCTTCCCTCTTCGTTCTACATTGGCTTCTCTATTTCGCCTGTGTGCCTCTCTCTTTTGAGAAATTCTCCCTAATCTCTGTAACAAGTTTGCTTACTTGCTAATTTACACACCAAGTTTTACTCATATCTATCTCCCCAGTCCTTCTTTTGTCTGTGTTGACAACAAGAGAGGTGGAATGACCTAATAAGCCTCAAAGAGGCAAGTTCCTTGTCAAAGAAGTTAAAAGTCTTGGGCTAGCAGTGGGAGTACAATGTCTTTTTCTCCTACCTCTCCAAATGATTCTGTATCCCTAGAAAGTTTCATAATCTGTGAAGTCTTAGGGATCACAAGAAGATCTTTGGAAGATTCTAAGGATGTAGCTTGGTGGTAGAGTGTTGGCATGACATATTCAAGGGTCTGGGTTGGTTTGGAAGGAGGGAAGTAGGAGGAGAGGGATGTAGAGAGGGGAGAGTGGGTAGGACTACCAGGGTGAAAAGGAAGAATGGAAGTTTCTATAGTTGGCTCAAGTTCTACCAGATCCTCACAGTGTGGAGGACTAAAGAGAATAAGCAGCCCGGTAGATTCAGTGTTTGTATGACCTGAAGAGGAAGGCTAAAGTGTAAAACAAGAGCAGCTTTTGCTAAAGAGCCCCTGGAAATCTAGCTCACATTCCCCGTCTCTTTTCACTACTCTCTCTGGAGTTCTGTCTGGCTTATAGTCTGTCCTACTGGCTGCAAGCTTGTTGGTCAGTTGTTTCTGAAAGGTGGACTCCCAAGACCCAGAGGGCCTGTGCCCAGTGCAAGCCAATGGTCTGGTGGTTTCCTTTATGAACCTTTGCCCAGCCTCTGGCCTCTTCCTGTCCCCTCTAAGCTAGGGTTTTTTTCTTCTTTCTTTCTTTCTTTCTTTCTTCCTTCCTTCCTTCCTTTCTTTCTCTTTCTTTCTTTCTTCCTTCCTTCCTTCCTTCCTTCCTTCCTTTCTTTCTTTCTCTTTCTTTCTTTCTTTCTTTCTTTCTTTCTTTCTTTCTCTCTCTCTTTCTTTCTTTCTTTCTTTCTCCCAGGAAGAAGGAGACTCACCTTTCAGTCTTCATAGGAAAGGGCTGATAGCTAGGTACCACCTGGAGTCTAGCTTTGCCTGGGTTTCCAGCTAGATGAAGAGTATAGACAGAACATTTGCTATTTCCCTTTCTGACTTCATGTTCTTTCCTGCAATTTCATCCAGATGTGTGTTTCTTGAGGCGAGACTGGCCTCACTTCTATGTCTAGGGTATTGTTGTTCTTAGGTGCATGCACATGAATTCAGTTCAGTAGGTCCAAGGCCTTCAGGAATGTTTTCTATATACTCTAGGTGAATGTGGCTTTCTGACTACATGCAGCTTGTTCCTTCTCATGGCAGTGAGGTTCTCTAGTCCTGTCTGCATTTAGCTGGAAACTGTGATGCAATTTGTCCAAGGTCAGGCATCTTGAAGGCTGGAGAACCTTGCCTTCTAGGGCAAGATCTTTGTATAGTACCTCAGATTCAGACCCAGGAAGACAGGTGAGACAAAGAGAGGTTGGTTGAGTGGGTGAAGACTTTTGAAGCAACAGTATAGTCTCTGTCTACCCCCAAACTCCTTCTTCATTCACTATGCCTTTGGGCAATTTCCGCCAGAACCTGGGTGGGGAGGGTGGAGTTCCGGTGTTGAAATGGCATCCTGGACAGACATAAACACCCCACCCATTCTGCCCGTTGGTCAAAGGCCTGTGCCTATATCAACTCCCATTTCTGGGGATGATGTTATAGCAAGAGGGTGGAGGCAGGGCCTCAGGCGGATCAGTTGTTAAAAGGACGCTTGGTAGTGGCTATACATTTTGTGGTAGGTCCAAGAGGAGAGACTCCATAATGAATAGCAGGAGGGGCTATCCTTTTGATGGGTGATATATAAAGTCATACAATTTGAGGTCATCCAGCCCCACCCTCTGGTCTTCTGTAAGATGTTTCCTTTATTTATATGATGTGTAGTGTGGATGTGAATGTATGTACACTTTGCCAAGTCTACTTGGAATCTATTTGGACACAAAGAAAAGAGATTCAGATAGAGATGAGTATCAGGGGATATGGATGCAGGATGAGGAGAGAGATGGACCAAGAGGAGATGATGAAAACCAGTTTAAGAGACTGCAATTTTCCAAGCAGTAAGGGATTCCCCCAGTTCAAGTTGGGTTGTCTAACTCCATGGCTTTACTATTGAGATAACTAACCAGGAGCAGTGAGGTATCTTACTCAACACCTCACTGCTACTTTGCAGCAGAGCCAAAAGCTAGAACCCAGATTTAAAATAGGAACAGAAGGATTGACAGCACTTGAGAGCCCAAAGAGATATTGTCCAGAAGAGAAAGGGCCTGAGACACTATGGGAACTTGCTGAGGTAGACTGCCTTTAGTGGTGTGGGTTGTGGACAGTCAGCACCTTGGGAACCAAAGGAGTCTAGAAAGCAGCTAGGGATGTGATCAGGTTCCAACCAGCCACCTATCAGCTTGGGCTTCAGTGTCTGCCTCCCACCCCCTTACAGGGTCTTTGTGAAGCCCAGTCTGAAAAGCTATGCCTTTCAAGTGCCAGTATAAGTCTTGACAAGTGCTTGCTAAATCTTTGTTGTATGTTGACCTTGGAAGAGAAAGAAGCCATGGTTATGTGGGGTGGGACATGACCAAATGACCTTGTTGGGATAAAGGGTAGAAGTGGTCCAGTGTCTCCTGGAGCCCATTCCTCCTCTGCCTCTGCTGGCTGCAGCTGATAAACCCCTTATCTGGCCCAGGCAGGGGAGCCTAAAGTAAGGATGGGAGGAGAGGGAAGGGCTGCTATCACCAGCAAGCTTGGGCCCTATCTCAGAGAAGAGGAGGGGCTGTCTGCCTAACACTTCCCACAACATACTCCTTGAGGATTCCCAAGCACTCACATCTTGAGAAGAAAGGGCTGAAATACTAGGTGTGGTGGTGGCACATACCTTTAATTTCAGCACTTGGGAGGCAGAGGCAGGCAAATCTCTGTAAGCTAGAAGCCAGCCTGGTCTATATAGCAAGTTCCAGGACTGCCAGGGATACATAGAAAGACCTTGCTTCAAAAAATGACAACAAAAGGCTTAGGCACTAAACTGAGGACCCAAGAAGAAGGCAAGGGTGACTACAGATGTTTTCTCCAGAATGGAAATTGAAACTTCAATCTCCAAACCCCAGAAGGCTGGATTTTGTCTCTGGACAGGAATGCCATTTTTAGGGAGTAAGAGAAGGCATCTTGCTGAGAAAAAGTAAAGATGTCTACTCTGTGCCCAGAGGACTGACTATGGCCAGAGCAGGTGAGGTAGAGAGTACTCCCCTGAAGAAAAGAACATCACAGTTCATAGGGTGGTTGATGGCACCAGTAAGCCACTGACAACACTCTTTCCTTCTGGGAATTCTGCACAGGGACAGGACAAACCTCTGACCTGGTAGGAGCAACTCTAATAACTTTCTTTCTTCAACACAGGTTGTGGGAATCCTTTGTGCTTGGGGAGACCTGGGGCCATTGGCTGGCACAGTAGGATGCCCCCGTGTCCTCCTCAGCAGAACAGGAACAGGTTATCACAGCTGCCTACTGGAGAGCTTGGAGAGATGGAACTGACTTGGCAAGAGATCATGTCCATTACTGAGCTGCAGGTTAGTATGGGGTGGGCTCTTGCCTGGCCAGAAGCAGAGAGTAGGAGGGCAATGGGGAACACTGGGGGAAGGGAAGACACTGGCTGGGGTTATAGGCCCCTGTCCAGCTGCTTTGCTTACATCTCTGTCTACCACCCTCTGCTTTACTCCTCTCTTTTATCTTCTTCTCATCTGATCCGATTCTCTTCCAGCTCTGCCCATCTTCCCTCATTACCATCCCTCACCCTTAGCAACAAACTTCTTTCCTCCAGGTAGCAGAGCCTTAGTTAAAGGGCCTCAGAAAGGGGAGATAGACTGTGCTGGGGTCCTCTCCTCCTGAATGTTGGACAAAGGAGTGTCTGTTGGTCTAACAATGGTGCCTTTGTCCTCAGCTAGGCTTGAGCAGGATAGCTCTGCTACATAAGTTGGGGGCCTTGTTTGTAATATGTGTTTCCCTCCTTACTGCACCTGGGCCTGGACAGAGGGTTAACCCCCAGCCTGGGCTCTGTGCCTGCCTCCACCTCAGGCCTGGTGTCCTCAGGATCTGCCCTTAGCCCCTCCTCCCACAGGCTAGCTCCCTCTGCTGGGCACCCAAGGAATGGCAAAGCCCTGAACTTGACCCTTTGACCCTAGATAACCACAGCAGAAAAGGGTTCTGAGGTTCCATCTTGGATAATAATGACCTTGTCCTCCTAAAGAAAATAAAGAAACAGGAGCCATTTGGCCCAGTAAGAGCTTCTCTTGATAAAGAGACTCTGTAACCAGTTCAACATGAGGTTGTCTTCTCTGAGGTCTCAACATAGTGACTTTTATTCCTGCTTAAAAAGCCTTTTCCTCTTCATTATCCCTTTCCTCCTTTTCTTCCTCCTCCTTCTCTCTTTCTCTCTCTTTCCTTCCCTCCTCCTCCCTCCCTTCCTTTTGATATAGGATTTCTTTGAGTAGTCCTGGCTGTCCAGGAACTCACTCTATAGGCCAGAGTGGCTTTGAACTCAGAGATCTGGCTGCCTCTGCATCCAGAGTACTGAGATTAAAGCTATGTGCCACCATGCCCAGCTTCTTTCTTTCTTTTTTCCCAGATAGAGCTTCTCTGTGTAGTCTTGGAATTTACTTTATAGTGCAGGTTAGCCTAGAACTCAGAGATTGACTTTGCCTCTTGAATGCTGGGATTAAAGATGTTTACCACCACTGCCCAGCATAGTCTGTCTTCTAAACCTCATTTTTGGTCTTTCTTTGCAGGGTCTAAATGTTCCAAGTGAGCCATCTTTTGACCCCCAAGCACCCACCCCATACCCTGGGCCACTGCCACCTCCAACATACTGCCCCTGTTCAATTCACCCAGATGCAGGCTTCTCCCTTCCCGCACCATCTTATGAGCTCCCAGCATCCACTCCCCATGTCCCAGACCTCCCATACTCCTACGGCAACATAGCTATACCAGTGTCAAAGCCACTTACCCTTTCAGGCCTGCTCAACGAGCCCCTCCCAGACCCCTTAGCTCTCCTGGACATTGGGCTCCCAGTGGGGCAACCCAAGCCCCAAGAAGACCCAGAATCTGACTCCGGATTATCCCTCAACTACAGTGATGCAGAATCTCTTGAGCTAGAGGGTGCAGAGGCTGGCAGGAGGAGGAGCGAGTATGTGGACATGTACTCGGTGGAGTACCCTTACTCACTTATGCCCAACTCTTTGGCCCACCCCAACTATACTCTTCCGCCCACTGAGACTCCCTTGGCCTTGGAGTCATCCTCCGGTCCAGTGCGGGCTAAGCCTGCTGTCCGTGGGGAGGCAGGGAGTCGGGACGAGCGGCGAGCCCTGGCCATGAAGATTCCTTTCCCTACGGACAAGATAGTTAACTTGCCGGTAGATGACTTTAATGAGTTGTTGGCACAGTATCCGCTAACAGAGAGCCAGCTGGCTCTAGTTCGGGACATCCGTCGGCGGGGCAAGAACAAGGTGGCGGCCCAGAACTGTCGTAAGAGAAAACTGGAAACCATTGTGCAGTTAGAGCGGGAGCTGGAGCGGCTGGGCAGTGAAAGGGAACGGCTTCTCAGAGCCCGAGGGGAGGCCGATCGTACCCTGGAGGTCATGCGCCAACAGCTGGCAGAGCTGTACCATGATATTTTCCAGCATCTTCGGGACGAATCTGGCAACAGTTATTCACCAGAGGAATATGCACTGCAACAGGCTGCTGATGGGGCCATCTTTCTGGTACACCGTGGGACCAAGATGGAGGCCACAGATTGAGCTGGCCCAGAGGGGGTGGACGCTGGTGCTAGGGACTCCCCTCCTTCCTTTCTGATAAAGGTACTTCCCAATCCCAGAACAAGGCTTGGAGTTCTCCAGACCAAGAGGGCAGATGCAACCTTAGCATTTGGAAGTTCCAAAGTGTATCCGGTGAGGTTTGCCTGGAAGCCAGGTGAGTGTTGGCTTCTCAGGTCCCCACCTCCACCTCTTGTCTAACCTTTGGTTCATAAAGAACTGTGTGGAAATAGCTTTCCATTTTGTCTTCTTTGAGGGTCATGAAACCAAATTGTCTCAGACATCAGTTTATTGGATGGAGGAAAGGAAATCCTAAGCTCATTTAAAGCACACATAAAATGTGGCCATGAGCAATGTGACAATACACCTGCCTGCACAGCCACTTCCAGGGTCAGGAGCTAGAGTGCTTTGAAGAACTGCCCTTGGTGGCTCAATTCATAAATGCCAAGAGCTGACAAAGTTGATTGCATCCTCTAGGAAGGTCTCTGCAGCATACACTTGATATTTAGTTTTCTCCTGCTTGCTTTTCACTCTGGGTCTGAGAGGTTAGGGATCCAAGGGACTGTTGATTGGAATGAGTTTGAACAGGCACTACATTTGAAAGCATTTCACACCGCCTTAGCAATGCTCCATGTTTAGTTATGCATTGCACCTAGAGCCTAGGGAAAGCTAGGAAACTTTGAGGCTTCAAACCTACTCTTCCTGGATGGACAGTAGCTATCTAATCCAATCTTGGGGTTGACGGGATGCTATTTCTACTCTTCTAGATGTACCTTTGAGACAGGGTGGACCAAGTCAGCGTCCAATTCATAAAGATTCACTTATCTCCGAAGTGCTGGGATTAAAGGTATGTGCCGCCACAATCCAGCCTTCCTATTAATCTTGAGCATGTAACTGTGTGTTCTATATTCATACAGAAGCCTGGAGATCAGAGAGGTGTCTTTTTAAGTTAGATGGGTGCTGGAATACTCAAACAGGGTCCCACATTAACTCAAGCTAGCCATCTACCCGTGTAGTGGAAAATGACCTTGATCTTCCAATTAAAAATTGGGATGCTGTGTAGAACACCCAGCTCAAAATCTACCTTATCTTTCCTTTTACTTTGAAATACAATCATCAGTTGTAGTGTAAGCACTTAGTCTCAGTGCTCTGGAGCCATAGGCAGGGAGATTCTAGGCCAGCCAAGACTACATAGTGAGACTTCAAAAAAGCTTCAATTTCAGCTAATATAGGACAGCCAGGCAGGTTACACTGTGAAATCCTTTAAAAAGCCTCCCACCCCCCAGGGAGGAAAGAACAGGCTACAGATAAAATTCTCCAGGTATAATAAGGTATACAGAATCCACCCCCTAACTCTGAAGAAACTAAGATGTTTGGGTTTCAAGAGTCCTGTGACTAGAGGCATTTGCCAACAGGACCAGTCATGTTTATAGATTTTAATGTGGGTTCTAATCTGGGTCAAGGAGTGAAAGCAACTGCTATAAATGCCACAAAGGAAGAAACAACTAAGTTAGTTAAAAAAAAGTTTATTTAAAAAAAAAAAGCCATTCACAGAATGGAATGAATCTTAGCAGTGTACAGCTAAACCCAACTGCATGGCAGTGAGAATGAAGTAGAGTGCACCAGAATAAAGGCTGTTCCCTTAAGGCTGTTCCTGTAAAGGAGAAGAGAGATAGTTATGTAGTTTACATAGACAGTGGTGGATTCCACCTAGACTCCTGGTTTGTATGTACAGCTTAACAAATTACCAGTTACAAAAACTCACCTTTTAGCGAACAACTTCTGCAGTTTTTAAACAAATTTTATGACAGCAGTTAAGCCTCATAGCAGATTCCTTCCTAGAAAAGTAAACAACATTTAGAACTATTCTTGTATGAGACCAATTCCCATCATTAAACTAGTCCCACCCCCTCCCATTAGCAATCCACCCATCCTCCCACCATTTTGGGGGAATGTATCTAATATTACTTTGAGCCATTGCTTTAAGAAAATGGGTCAAAGGAAGGTTAAGAAAATTAAAGGGCCAAAACATATTGTCACAAATAGAAATGTATCCACTTCCATCAAGTAGGATTAATAGGGCATTAATTAAATTAAAACAATTCATCTCCATAAAAACCAAGTGCAGCTTAATTGGACTAGTTTTGGCTCAATATAATTAAGAGAAATCCAACAGAAAATTGGACTTTTTAACTATATGTATGTAAGTAAAATCTGTTCTTACCTAGCAGCATAGCAATAAACCTTTCCTTCTGGCTCTGCCTGCTAGTCCTAAGAGTCAGGTGTGCCTTACTCTCGTCTGCCTCCTTCCTTGCGATGGTCACTCAAACTTCACTCCCTCCTAGCTTTCATGGAGGTGCCGTGGCCTGCCCCTGGCTTATCTGTACTCCACATACCACAAGTGTCTACTCTCAGCTGTAGAGATTCTGAGCTGGAAGCCATTCGCGCTATACTTGCTAGCAGTTCCTAGTAGCTGAACATCTCCTGGATCTTTAAAGGCATTGTCCCGATTCCTGAGGTATCTGCAAACTCCCTCAATAGTTAAGGTTCCACCTGCTATTGCAAACTCAGCCAGTATCATGGAACTACCATCCATGCTTCCCCCACCCCCACCTCCCACCTCCCCATATCCCCCCTCCCCAAAACTTCCAAGCAATATATACACCCATGAGTTGGAATACATAGTCCTGTGTTAAACATTCATCTATGCTACCCGGTACAATGGCACTTAAAAAGGGGCACCAAATGGGAAACCTATGCACAAGTAACAATTATTGGATAGTAATTGTTTTGAACTCATTTTCTATACAATTAACACCTGAGGACAGTAGTGTGAAGGAAAACTGCCATCAATATAAAGTTACATACATATGTTAATTATACTTGTGATTTAAAATTTCAATGAACTAGAATCACTAGAAAACCAAACCAAAAAAACCAACCGAGGAACACCCACCCACAACCCAAACTGCAGTTTTCCTTCACTACAGCCTACGGATTAGGGCAATTAGAGCTCTTACTAATTATCAGTTTTATAAGATGCCCCAACACTGCTAATCTCTGGACTTATAGATGGCATTAACCAGCAGTTAGCTTCTATGCTGGCAGAGCTTTGAACTTGCACTGTGGTTAACAAACAATCAACATTTACCAGGGGTATTGGGTAGGGAAAGTCCAAATCTCTGCCAGTCCCAAATCCATACAGTTGTCATTCCATTCAAGAGAATTAAATCGTTTATTGAGTACACATGATAATGGATGATACACAAGCTTCATTCCCATCTGTTATTTTATCTGATACCGTTATTCAATTTTGATATTGCATAGGGTGTGCCAACAACCATTTTATAACCAAATTGTGACCTTGCTTGGATGACCCTTTCAATGGTGAAACTGTTAAGTTACAACAGTAACTGGCAGTTTAATAACACCAAGGTTTTTGAAGACAATGGCTTCTCTACCCAAGCAATCATAAATAAATTCCAAATGGAACTTGGCATCACCCTGAAGGAATTCTAACTTCACACTGTTGGGGAAGTTTACCAAGATGGCTTCAAGAGTAGACTAACTTTACACAGCACATTTAAAAAAAAAAAAGACACATTTATTCAGCGTCATGATCAGACTATTACATTTAGCAATCAACAGCATGGGTGAAAAAGGTCTACAGTAAAACCTTTTGTTGGAATGCTTTACACTTTCCACAGAACAGAAACTAAAATAACCTGTTATACAATTAGTCACAAATACAGTCCTGGAGTTTTTGCCCACACACATGAGTATTGTCTAAAACATGTCTTCTTTGTAGCAGCTAGGCCCTGCCACCACTGTGCTTGGCTGAGTTCACAAATCTGTTGTAACCTGTAGCTTCCCTGTCACTTCCCTGGCTCTCCTCTCCTGCTAAGCTTTGTTTCCTGGCTGTAATTAGAACCTCCTGCCACTGCCATAGCTACTGCTGCTGCTGGAACCTCCATAGCCACCTTGGTTTCGTGGTTTAGCAAAGTACTGGCCTCCACCACTGTAAGGGCCAGAGCTCCTGCCTCCAAAGTTCCCTCCCTTCATCGGTCCAAAATTTGAAGACTGATTGTTGTAATTGCCAAAATCATTGTAGCTTCCACCACCTCCAAAATTGCTTCCACTACCACCGCCAAAGCCGCCTCCGCCTCCTCCGTTGTTATAGCTGTCATAGCTGCCACTCCCGCCATAGCCACTGCCCTGGTTTCCATAACCCTGTCCACCACTTCCATAGCCTCTGCTTCCTCCAGAGTAACCAGGGCCGCCTCCTCCATAACCACCTACAAGAATACAAGTCTTCTCAATAAGACAAAAGTATTTAACAAGAAAAATCTATGCAAGTATAACAGCTAAAGGCTGCTCACAGCATGCACATTCATGGGACTGATCAAACTTTGTCATGCACTAGGTTTAGTCTCTACTAGCCTATTCTAAAGGTACAGGTTGCCAGAAACCATTACTTACAGACTCCTTAAGAAACTTACCGTCATTGCCAAATCCATTATAGCCATCCCCACTGCCACCATATCCACCACCACCACGGCTGCCACCAAAGCCACCTGAAAGAAACAAACCAAAGCTTTAAACCAGGCTTTATACATGAATGCTTATCAAAAGCTAATTTCTATGTATTAAGAACTACATTTGGGAAAACCCATAAATGCTGGGAACATAGGGCAGCAGTTAATATTTAAAAGTTCAAAGTTTCAAAAACAAACCATACATACCACGACCACTGAAGTTCCCTCCTCGACCAAAATTGTCATTGCCACCAAAACCACCTCCACGACCACCACCAAAGTTTCCAGAACCACTTCGACCTTAAAGAGATTTTGGATCATTAGGCTAACCTATAATAACTCATACTGGTCCCTACAGTCACCAAGAAATGAACGCACCTCTCTGGCTGGATGAAGCACTAGCCATCTCTTGCTTTGACAGAGCTTTTCTTACTTCACAGTTGTGGCCATTCACAGTATGGTATTTCTGAACTAAGAGAAAAAGGTAAATTCAGGACTTTAAAGAACACGTGAACTCCAGAATCATTAAGGAAAATGTAGCCCCGATACTCACTAACAATCTTATCCACAGAGTCATGGTCATCAAAGGTGACAAAAGCAAAGCCTCTCTTTTTCCCACTGCCTCTGTCAGTCATAATTTCTATCACTTCAATTTTCCCATACTGCTCAAAATAATCTCGTAGGTGATGTTCTTCAGTGTCTTCTTTAATACCACCAACAAAGATCTTTTTCACAGTTAAGTGGGCACCTGGTCTCTGAGAATCCTAAAAAGAAAAATGACTTATTTAAAAGCAGCATGCTTCTAAATGACTGGCAGCTGTGGTGGCCCAGGCCTTTAATTCCACTCATGGGGAGGGGGGATCTCCCAATTGAGGTCTGACTGGATTAGTCTCAGGTTAAAGAGAACCACCTATTAGAAAAACCACTTACTTCTCTTGACACAGCCCTCTTAGGTTCCACGACTCTTCCATCCACCTTGTGTGGTCTTGCATTCATGGCAGCATCCACTTCTTCCACAGTGGCGTATGTGACAAACCCAAAGCCCCTGGATCTCTTGGTGTTTGGATCTCTCATTACCTGTTTTAGAGTTAATCCAATCAACACACTGCCTGATCTCAGAAACAAAAGCTATTTCTAGTCTGAGCACGGCAAACACGAAACTTCATCCAGAGTCGTGAAAAAAAACCTCCTTACAGATCTTATTAACAAAGGCCCACAACGAAGATTTTTAGCATCCCATAAAATAACTTCACAAAACACTTAGCTAATAAGCATTAAATTAAATCAGAAAGAAATAAGCCAGCTCTTCCTTTTGTTTCTTTTAATCTTACCACACAGTCGGTTAGTGTACCCCATTGCTCAAAATGGCTCCTCAGACTCTCATCAGTTGTTTCAAAGCTCAGCCCTCCGATGAAGAGCTTCCGCAGCTGTTCCGGCTCCTTGGGAGACTAAAGTGGAGGAAGGAGGGGGTTTAGTCGGAGGGGTTGAAACTTGGGCGAATGAATCAACACCACGCATCAACACATGCTACACTTTTTTATTGTTCTTTATTACTGCTCAAGACCACGTGCTCCTTCCTGGGCTAGGAGGTGCTGTTGGGGACTCGGGTTACAAACGCAGCGCATGCGTCCTTACTCTTACTTCATACGCACGCGCAACAAAAGACACGGGTTGATTTGTTCCATCGCCATTAAGACTTATTATCTCTCTAATAAGCGATCATTAGACCAGAGGGGGTAAAAAAGAAAAGGCCACAAACCCAAGATCGTAAGTCTATGAAGTCTACTACAAGGAACAGTGCGTGGAAATTAATGGCTGACGGATCGCAGCCTCATGGTGACTACGAGGACAAAATGGCGACCTGCATTTTTTAAAGTAGGCCTCAGCAGTAATCGATCAAACACCGAAAGCACGGGTTTCGAACAGGTCACATCCCCGTATTTAGTAAGTGCGGACGAAAGCGAAGTTAAAGAGCTCACCAAACTCACCTCTGACTTGGACATGATGGCAGGATGATCAGAGCCTTCAGCGATGCTTCCTCCTCAGCGTCAAAGAGCAGAAAGGAATAAGAAGACGAACGTACTCGGCAGCCTACCTTCTGCTCGCCCTTTTATCCCGCCTCCTCGCTTTCGGCATTGGTAGACTCCGCCTTTGCTTCAGTGTTATTGGAGATTTGAAATTGTTCCCTCCCACCATTGGCCTGTGAAAACGCCCTGCTAAGAAACAGCATCCGTTTGGGCGTTCTATTCAGTCTCCGCCCCTTTGAGTCATTGATGCCCCAAGGGATCTTATCCTTAACCACATTGATTGGCTAGTTAGCCAGTCATTTATATTTGAATGTACTCACGGCTTTAAATGCCTTCTATAACTTTCCCATACCCGAACATTGCAAACTCATTCGGCAAAGAACGATACGTTAGAAAGTAGTTCGCCGCGACTTTTCCCAGCCACTACCTATAAAGCGCATGTGTAATAAAAATGGCGAGTTTACGCCGGCGCAGTACGAAGTTCCGCCTGCTGTCTGGAACACGTGAAATGGCGGGCGGGAGAGGGTTGTGAACCTAGGCGCCTGCGTAGTGGCGGGACCTAGGTCCTGTTTTGCGCAGGCGTTTTGGGCGGAGAAAAGGTCCAAGCCCAGGATTGGTTGCGCAGGCGCAGGGAAGGATCCGTTTTGGCGGGCGGTTGGCATTGCGCAGAAGACGGCGGTAGCGGTGGCTTGTGGTGCCGCTTTACCCCAGAGGAGCCGTGCAGGCCTTAGTGTGAGTGATCACTTTAGATCCCGGGTAAGTGGCAGAGTCTTGTCTACCCGTACGAGATCTCGAACCCGCTCCATTTGCACCGGTCATTGTACGAAATGAATGGACCGCTGAACTGGGGGGGAACGACAGTGAAGGGGCCGCGACGGGTCGGGCCAGCCAATAGGACAACTGGGGCGGGATGTTTTATCCTTGCAGGTTCTGTGAAGCTGCCTTGCCGAAGCATTTGACTGGCGAGTGTATAGGCCAATTGGGTCTTCCTATAGCTGCCTACCGATCGGTCCTTGGGCCATCGGAATGTGGGAGGCGGGTTTTTCTCGCCTGAGTTGCGTCTCTCCGAGCCAATGAGCCCCAAGCGCGCGATAGGCCGGCCTTCCCCAAGAGGCAGAGGCTGGACTCCTGTAGGGAGCGCGGGAGTTGGCAGGTTAAATTCAGAACAAACCAGGAGCTAGTAGGACAGACTGCCCTCCAAAATAAAGCTTAGTCTTGCATTTGTTGGGGGGCGAGTATTTTATCTAAAATGACTCCTATAATTAGAGCATTCATTCCGTATATTACCTTAAGGAAAACATGTTTTCTTGGGCCCCTTGAGTTTGTCTGTTTTTTTTGGTACGTTCCACCCTTCACTTGAGATTTTGGAGTACGTGCCTTTTGTCTTTGAAAACTTTTAAAGAATATTAAAATTTTAGAGTGAAATCACTAAGGTAAAATACTGTAATGAAAAGCATCCAAGAAAAATAATTTAACTACTACCACCCCTTTCCAGGGACACTGTATTTGTATTCCTATGAAAGTTTTTGAGAGCTATATTATCAAAAGTCAAAACGTGTAGCCTCTATGAGAACAGTGGGGTCGAGGCCTGTATGTTTGAGGGATAATTATCATTAATGAAATAATGAAAACCTTAATAAAAATGGCCACATTTGGGTTTTGTTGTTGTTGTTTTCAGTCATCATGTATTTGTCATCATTCATGTTTCCAATTCTTTAATCTCAGTCTCTTCTCCAAAGAACATTTTTCTCCCCTAACATTCAGGATATTCTAAGCTCCTATTCCTGCCGTTCACTTAAGGATGTCTGATTTTGGGTGAGAAAGCTGATTCATTTGGGAGGTATTTAGGGTGTTGGGGACAAAAGACTCCATTGTCTCTGGGTCCGTTATTCATTGTTTTTTATTTCATCTCCTTTTGTATTTTCTCTGCAATCTCTTTGGTGTTGATAATGCCCACACTTCTCAGAGGATCTAGACAAATTTTCATTTATTATCTAATCAGTCTATCAGTCTGTTGATTTTTTTTTTTTTTAATAGTCTTTGAGGTACACTTGTGATAAGAAAATTCCAGCCTGGCATAGTGGCCAGTGCCTTTAATCCTAGCAGGTGGATGGATATCTGTGAGTTTGAGGCCACCCTCCTGGTCCATGTAGTTAGTTACTTGACAGCCAAAGCATAATCAGACCCCGTCTCGGAAAAGAAGATACTTTTGTACTTTGTACTTTGTACAAAAGACTAATGATTTCAATTTAGTTTTCTGTTTTGTTTTTGAGATATTATATGTCCCAGGCTGGCTTCACATGAAGAAATCTACCTGTCTTCCCTCCACAGTGCTATCATGCCTGACAGATTTTAGTGATGTTTCTAATGAACAGAGATTTCCACTGGTACTTTGAAAAGGACAAACATATTGTATGACTAATAGATGCTTATTTACACTAAGTGCAACTTCAGTGCTGAGCTCTAAAATGATAGTAGACTCAGGGAATCTACCTAGATATGGTTCAGAATTTTTCTTCCAGACATGGTTTCTTTGTGTAGCCCTATCTGTCTTGGAACTCATTCTGTAGACCAGGCTAGTCTTGAACTCAGAGATCCACGAGCCACTTGTCTCAAGTGCTGGGATTAAAGGTGTGAGTCACAAGTTGCTCAGCCTTTTCTTCCTTCCTTCCTTCCTTCCTTTCTCTCTCTCTCTTTCTCTCTCTCTCTCTCTCTTTCCTTCTTTCCTTCCTTCTTTTTTCCTTTCTTTCAATGTTTCAGTTTTAAAACAATACAAAAAAATGTAACAATGAATAATAAAGTCTTCATCTAAAATAGCTAATGCTAGAATTTATTATGTTCAGATATTTAGTAGATGGCCTGGAGGAGATGGCCGCCACCGCCTCCACCACCTCCACCACCTTGTCTTGAAGTACTCTTAAATAAATGGACCATTAATCCTGTTTTTCCTCTGGTATTGATTAGTTTCTGTGTCTTGAGATTAAAAGGGAACATTTTACTACTTCTTAGAGATTGAACATAGGATTATGGCCAGTCTGTCTGCTTTGTGAGTTTCAGGTCAGTAGGGGCTACACAGTTTGACTCTGTCTAATAAATAAACAGGATTTATTACATCTTCTGTATATGTGGCTTGTTTAAAACAAATGACAAGTAAGGGGCTGGATATGTAGCCCTGTTTCAGATGCTCTTAACTTTTTACCAAATATGGGCCCATCCTGATTTTTTTGAAAGACAGAGTTTCTCTGAGTATGGGCCCTGGCTGTCCTTTAACTACCTCTATAGACTAGGCTGGTCTCAAATTCAGAGATTACCCCTGCCTCTGCCTTCCAGGTGCTGGGATTAAAAATCATGAGTCTCCATGCCTGGTGTTGTCATTTCTTTGGAATATTTCAGACTCTGTCTCTTTATAGTTTGTTTGTTTGTTTGTTTGTTTTTTTAAAGATTTATTTTATATATGTGAGTACATTGTCACTGTCTTCAGAAACACCAGAAGAGGGCATTAGATCCCATTACAGATGGCTGTGAGTCACCATGTAGTTGCTGGGAATTGAACTCAGGACCTCTGGAAGAGCAGTCAGTGCCCTTAACTGCTGAGTCATCTCTCCAGCCCTCTTTATAGTTTTTTTGTATACTTTTTTTCTTTTTTAAAGCAAAGTCTCCAAAGAAAAGAAAAGCCAGGCAGTGGTGGCGCACGCCTTTAATCCAAGCACTTGGGAGGCAGAGACAGGCGGATTTCTGAGTTCGAGGCCAGCCTGGTCTACAGAGTAAGTTCCAGGACAGCCAGGGCTACACAGAGAAACCCTGTGTCAAAAAAGAAAAGAAAAAAAAAAACAAGAAAAAAATCAGTCTCTATTGTCCATGCTGTCTTGAACTCATTATATAGTCCAGTTTGGCGTTGACTTGAAGGAATCCTCCTTCTGTCTCAGTCTCTCATGTGATGAGGTTACAGGTATGGCCCCACCATACCAGACTCTTTGATCCTATCTGTATATTTGATAAAATGAGTTTCACCAAACAAGCATATGAAGTACTGTGTTCTCTGTAATGTATTATTTTCTTAAAAATCAGGTTAATTTCAAGGTTGTACATATGGTTGGTAGAATTCTGGTCTACCATGCATGGAGTCCCTTATCAGCAAATAAACCTGGCAGAGTGGTGCTGACCTGCAATCCCAGCAGTAGGACAGAATTTGAACAGGATGAGTCAAGACCATCCTCAACTATATATCAAGTTGAAGACTATTCCAGACTCTTATGATACTCTGGGTCAAATCCATCCTCTATCTCAACAGACACACAAAAGAGAGAAAATAGGAGAGTTTCCATTGACTAAATTCATAGGTACTTAATAGGTCTACAGTCAGTTTTAAGGAGAAATTGCTGACATTAGTCTGTAGAATAGAGCACCAGATCATGTCACTTTACATCACCAAGTGGATTTTCCCCAACTGTGTGTATTTATCACATGCTAATTGGTGAACTTTAATATTTTTTTTAAAGATTTATTTATTTATTTTATTTATGAGTACACTGTAGCTGTCTTCAGACACACCAGAAGAGGGCATCCAATCTCATTACGGATGGTTGTGAGCCACCATGTGGTTGCTGGGATTTGAACTCAGGACCTCTGGAAGAGCAGTCAGTGCTCTTAACCGCTGAGCCATCTCTCCAGCCCGAACTGGTGTTCTCTTTCTTTCTTTTCTTTTTTTTTTTTTTTGCAGGGGAGTTGGGTGGATGGGTTAGTTTTTTGAGACAGGGTTTGGCTGTCCTGGAACTTGATCTTTAGATTAGGCTGGCCTCAAACTCAGATCTGCCTGCATCTGCCTCCCAAGTGCTGGGATTAAAGGTGTGTGTCACCCAGCATCTGGCTTACATGGTTCTAAAGGTCTGAAATAAGCAGCACTCCTGGTTTAATGTGCTACGAAAACAAAACTTAGTCTAGGCAGTGGTAACATATGCCTTTGATCCCAGCACTTGGGGAGGCAGAGGCAGGCAGATCTATGAGTTTGAGGCTAGCCTGGTCTACATAGTTCCAGGATAGCCAGGGAGGTACAAGAAAAACCCTGTGTTGAAAAAAAAATAAAGGAAAGAAAAAAACTTCCTGCTTATGTGGTTTTTTTCTAATGTGATAGTTAAGTGTGATAAGCATTTCTCTGTGGTAGGGAAATTTTACTGATGATTATTATTGACATTTTGAGGCTATCACATTGAAAATTCTGGGAGGCTAGGTTAAGAGCACTGGCTGTTCTTCCAGAGGACCCAGGTTT